CTCTTCTATAGAAGAGCTTAGAACTGGCAGGAACCCACCCCTGGTTGGAAGGGACCTTGGAGGTTTTCTAGTCCCACCCCTTGCTCAGGCAGGAAACCCTATACCAATGATGGTTAACCTTTTCAGCACCGAGTGCCGAAACTGGAGTGCATCATGCACACTGGAGCGCCAGAAGCCAGAAAAGTGCAGCTGGCCAGTGCACATGCGTGCGAGGGCCAGTTGCTCTTCTGGGTTCCGGTGTGTGCATGCGCACCGGACCAGCTGTCTGGCACCCATGCGCGCAATGCAACCTGGAAGAGCGAGTGCCCACAGAGAGGACTCTCCATGTCACCTCTGGCACATGGGTTCGCCCTCACAGCCCTATCCCATTTCAGGCAAATGGTTGTCCAATCTCTTCTTAAAAACCTCCAGTGTTGGAGCATTCACAATTTCTGGAGGCAAGCTGTTCCCCCTCACTAATTGTTTTCACTGTCGGGAAATTTCTCCTTAGTTCTAGGTTGCTTCTCTCCTTGTTCCATCCACAGATAATTGGTGTCTTTCAGTCTTTGTCTGAACAAAATGTTCACCTCACTAGACCAGTGTTTCTCAAAGTTGGCAATTTTAAGACAAGCATGTCGGCTGGGGACTTCTGGGAGTTGAAGTCCAGGTGATTTAAAGTTGCCGAGATTGAGAAGCGTAGCAGTTAGAGGCAAGCTGGTAGGGATGATCGATTTTGCTTAAACATTGCATTTAATTTACAGGATGGACAGAAGGACCAGAGAGAATGCCAAATGATGTTGTCTTGCAAGGCTTTTTTAAAAAAAACATTACTCATAAAATAATACTGGTGTCATTGTGCCCCACCCCCAAGTGCGTACAGTATATGATTAATATATAGGACATTTCACAGATGGGTTACTTATTTCTTTCTGCGTGGAAAGGTGAAACGTGTAGAAGAAAAATGTTTAAAATGGGCCATGCGGTAAGAAATTTCAAATGTGTTGTACATGAGCTACTAGACACAGAGACAGACAGCAGGTGTGGTAGCTTAGGTTATAAACCAATGAGATAAATAGAAAAGATAAACACATCAATCTTTCTATCTTTCCCTGCAGCAGGCAGGGGTCCCATTGTGCTTTAAGACGGCCATTATTTTTGCCAGTATCAAAAAAGTCTACAATTATGGGTCTTGATGATTGCTGTCCAGTTGCGCTTACGTCTATCATTATGAAATGTTTTGAGAGGCCGATGAAGGACATTATTGTATCCAGTCTCCTTCCAGCATTTGACGTGATTCAGTTTGTTTACCGTCCAAATTGCTCTACAAGGGATGTTTTCACTGGCAGAGCACTCGGGCCACCACTGATGCCCCCAACATTGAGTGACGTTGAGCTGGCCATGCCAGTTCTGGCCATGACAACCCCCCCCCCCGGTCAAAGACAACCCTGATGCAGCCCTCAATGAAAGGGTTTGACACCCCTGCTCTGGAACATCATCCCTGCAGAAATTAGACTGGTCTCCACTTTGGCAATCTTTCAGAAGGCCCTGAAGACGTGATTTTGCCAGCAGGCCTGGAGAACCCAAAGTGTGATGGAGCCAATAAAACAGCTCATTTAATCATGTGTTGAGGCCGGTGGGTGGGTGGTGGGTTATTACTTTTTATCTTTTATTAATCTTTTTTTATTTTTAACCCACCCAATTTTGTGTTTTTTACTGTTTGTAAGCCACCTAGTTGCAATGGATGGCTGTGAAGGTTGGACCCTAAGAAAGGCCAAGTGCCAAAGAATGGAGGCCTTTGAACTCTGGTGCTGGAGAAGACTCCTGCAAGTCCCTTGGACTGCAAGGTGATCAAACCGGTCAGTCCTACAGGAGATCAACCCTGACTGCTCTTTAGAAGGCCAGATCCTGAAGAGGAAACTCAAGTAGTTTGGAGAAGGAAGGACTCACTGGAGAAGAGCCTAATGCTGGGAAAGATGGAGGGCAAAAGAAGAAGGGGACGACAGAGAATGAGGTGGCTGGGTGGAGTCACTGAAGCAGTAGACATGAGCTTAAATGGACTCCAGAGGATGATAGAGGACAGGAAGGCCTGGAGGAACGTTGTCCATGGGTCGGATATGACTTCGCAACTAACAACAGCAACGCTTGGTTGTTTCAACATTCTTGTCCCAAAGGCGCTTTTTTCAAAAGCAACTGAACTTGCTTTGTTTTGCTTGAAGAAGACATTTCACTTCTCCTCCCAGAAGCTTCTTTCGCTCTGACTGAAGTCAGAACTGATAAACCTCCAAGTGGCCTCAATGGCTCTCAGAAAGAGTGCGAACGACCAGATGGCTGCAAGGAATATAAATCCTCCCATTCTCCACCATTCAGTCAGAATTGAAGAAGCTTCTTGGATGCGAATCGAAATGTTTTCAAGCCTAAGAAAGAAAGTCCAGTTGCCTTTTGAAAAAAACACCTTTGGGACAACCACGAGGAATGTTATCCATGGGGTCGCGATGGGAGTCGGAGACAACTTTGCAAACTAACAACAACAAAGCTGCCTGGAGCCGCTGTGAGCGAGTAGGCAGCTATACAAATGTTCTAAATAAATAAATAAAATAAGTACAGTATTGCTCAAGTACACCTGGAGAGCAGCAGGTTGACAATTCTACATTCTGTAAAACAGAGGTACCAACTTGTAATCACAGGTGAGCTTCTTATTGCTACCCTCCTCTTCTGAGTGACAGGACAAAGCGCTGGGATCTGGGCTGATCTGGACACTAACAGCAGCACCTTCAGCCCCCTCAGCCGAAAATGTCATGTTCCAGATGTGTTGAGAGCAGTCGGGTCTTTGCTGGCTGTCAGCTCCACAAGGCATGTAGAATTGGACAAAGTGATAGACTGGTGGGTTTTCTTCAGTTTCCTGAAGGAAGAGCACATATCTATTAATCCTCCTCCTGACTAGTAATCTAGATACAGAATAACAGAGTTGGAAGGGACCTTGTAGGTCATCTAGCTCAACCCCACACCCAAGCAGAGCAGAGGGGGTATTCAGCCGGTTCAGGCCAACCGGTAGTGCAAATTTTGAGTAGTTCAGAGAACCAGCAAATACCATCTCTGGCTCGCCCCACCCTCCTGCCCCCATTGTTCCCTATCTTATATTCCCTTGTTTTTTAGCTCAGCTGATTTACGCGGCAGAGCAGAATGCCGCACCGCAGCTGAGATTAAAAAAAAAAAAAAACAGCTCAGCTCACCAGCGCTGACATGGAGGGTGGTCTTTGAGTGCTGTGTGTGCTCTCATATAACCGGTAGGAAAAGATTTGGAATCCCACCACTGGAGCAGGCCCTACACCATTTTTGACAGATGGCAGCCCAGTCTCTTTTTGAAAGCCTCCAGTGATGAAGCTCCCACAACTTCTGAAGGCAAAGCTGTTCCATTCGTTGTTTGTTCTCACTGTCAGAAAGTTCCTCCTTGTTTCTAGGTTGAATCTCTTCTTGGTCAGTTTCCATCCATNCCCCCTCCCCTGTGGTTGTAAGCCGCCCTGAGTCCCCTCAGGGAAAAGGGCGGCATATAAATCCCAATAAACCTTAAACCTTAAACCTTAAACCTCTCTTTCTCTCTCTCTCTCTCTCTGTGTGTCTCTCTCTGTCTCTTTGTCTCTCTGTCTCTCTCTGTCTCTGTCTCTCTCTCTTACACACACACACACACACACACACACACACACACACAAAACCTCCTTACAACCTACCTATTGTGGAAGGTATTTTGGGGAAACAGAAAACAAAAAAAGAGAAGAAAAAGACTAAAACATTTCCCCACCATCAACACCCACATGATCATAGATTAACTCCAAGATTTACATCAAACCAAGAATCAAGTAAACAATGCCCCAATTAAGGAACGGCCAAACAAACTAACAGTAAATGGTCTAAACAAAGAACCCCCAAGACCACTGCCATCAACACTGATGGGACAATCCACTAGAATATAAATTTAGAGCAATCCCCACTCCTTACTAGCACTGATGATATTACCTAGTTTTGGTTAATGAAACATCTGTAAGAGAACAACCAAGCTCAGGAAGCACCAAGGACCCCTCATCCCTCCCTCCCTGCCTCTCTTGAGTGACTTTAGCTAGTTTGTAGCATTAAAATATAAAATCAGCCACACAATGGGCAAAATAAGATATAGTTTCCAAATTCTATACCTGAATTACCCCTTAATCAAATTTTGGTGTCCTTTTCTCTGAGGGTGGTAGGAAAGCGCAGCGTTGAATGAGATAAAAAGTGGTTTCAAAATGCAGAAGAAACTTGGCACTGTGTATAGGCCAGATGCAGAACTTTTACTCAAATCTTAATTTCTCGCCCTAATCTCAAACCACGCAGTTAATGCAACAGAGATCACATTCCAGTACAGATGGCTGAAATACCAAGTTATAAATAACCCCAGTATTGACCATATGCTAGTTAATATATTAAGCACTCAGTGATGTAGATGCAAATATCTCAAAAGAGAAGAAGAAAATGAATATCAAGCAGATTGTGATCATCTGAACTATTAAACTGAGTGAATACTACTGTGAGCAGCTATGCCAGCATGGGAAGCCCCCCCCCCTCCTAGAAAAATGAAATATTTTGGGGAATATTAAGAGGCAGAATATTATATTTCCCCAAAGGAGAAATGGAGAAACATGTTCTTAGAGGCAGAAAGCAATCCTCAGTCGTTCCTAATAGTCTCCAGCAGATGCCTGAAATCTGTAAATTAAGGACTACCTGTACTGTCAATTTCCTCAGTATAGCAAGAATGGATAATTTTTTTTAATGCTCAACCTACCTGCTGATGCCGATTGGGAATTCTGGGATTGTTATCCCAAGTACAGGTAGTCCTTGACTTATGACCACAATTGAGCCCCCCCAAAATTCTGCAGTTAAGCGAGACATTTGTTAAGTGAGTTTTGCTCCATTTTATGACCTTTCTTGTCACAGTTGTTAAGTGAATCACTGCAGTTGATAAGTCAGCAGCCCAGTTGTTAAGTAAATCTGGCTTCCTCATTAGCTTGGTCAAAAGTTACTTGGTTTTGTAAGTTGGGGACGACCTATATCCTGAAATCTCAATGTTCTATGAGATACCCTAGGAAAAAGCTCTCCCACATAAATTCTTTCTTCAATTTCACATTTCTCAAGATGGTCGACCTCCAACTAAGTTACACACACAGCTTTTTTGATGAAAAGTGGTTCATTTGGTAAAATACTGTCCTGTCCTAAACCACTAAGATTATTAAACTACCTGTACTTTGGAGGGTGCCAGGTGAAGGCTACTTTAAAGAGTATCACTTATGTCCCCAACCAGGGGTGGGATTTAAAACTCAATTTTCTGCCTGGTTGCTGGGTGGGCATGGCCATGGTGGGCGTGGCTTACTCAGACTCCTGCACCATGGCAGGGGAGGAGTTTTTGCCCTGCCCAGGCTCTGGAGGCTTTCCTTGAGCCTCCAGGAGGGCGAAAACGGCCTCTCCCAAGCTCTGGAGGCTCTCCAGAGGCCAGAAATGGGGCTGTTTCCAGATTTCCTGAACTTCCAGTACACCCGTTTTTCACCTTCCCAGAGCCTCTGCATAGGCCCTGCACTTACCTGGCATCCAAATCAGGCCGCATGGAGACTCCGGGGAGGGGTTGGGGGCGGGCCCAGCCAGTCCTTGCAACTACCAGTTCGCTGAACCAGGTGTAAAATTAGCATCTGGTTCACTCTAACCAGTCTGATTTTCATCTCTGTCCCCAACCCTCGGTCCATGGACTGGCATCAGTCTGCAGAATGCCACAAAACAACTCTGTGCAAACAAGCGAAGTCCCATCCGCGGGATGCAGACAGCAGCACGCAAAACCACGCCCCCCTCTGGTCCATGGGAAAAGCTCCCACCATGGAACTGGTCCCTGGTGCCCCAAAATGTTGCAGGCCGCTGACTTATTTGATTCCAAACAAGGCCGCTTCAAAAATTCAAGTATGTCAGAACTCACAAGGCTGGTGCGGGAGGCTGTGTCTTGTGATCCACGGTGAAATGGTTCACGTTGCCATTCTCATCACTGATCAGGACTTCTGCCAAAGGAGAACAGCAGCTGGACCTAGAGAGGGGATAAACATAGAAGATGGCGATGGGGGGGTTGCTGCCAGTTTTACTACTGGTTCGCAACCCGTGCTCAATGTGTGCATGCGTGCCAGACACTAAAAACCAAAATGGCGGCGGCCCAGCAGCGGCAAAGGAACTGATTTGGGGGTGTAGCAGGCCTGGGTCGCTGCTGGTTCTGCAACCCAGGCCTGAATTCCACTGCCGGTTCGGCTGAACCAGGTTGAACCGGGAGCAACCCACCTCTGAAGATGACTAAGCAGGAGATGGTAAATTGACACCAGTGGTGGGATTCAAATAATTTACCAACCAGTTCTCTGCCCTAATGACCAGCTGGGTACACGGGGCTTGGTGATCATGTGATCATGTGGGCGTGGCCAAGTCAATGTCACTCAGGTCGATGGGCGCTTCGCCTTAGTTGTTACAATGGTCAGAAGGGTTAACCGGAGAGGCAGTTTCTGTAAGCAGGGCAATAAGAATTAGGCTAGAAACAACACCATAATATTTCCTTCCTGCCTTCCTTACAGGATTAGCCCTGTGAAGTGGAAAAAAAACAAAATGAGATTTCTTCCAACAATTGGTTCTCCAAACTGCTTAGAAAGTTACCAACCGGTTCTCCCGAATAGGTGTGAACTGGCTGAATCCCACCACTAATTGACACCTTAAGAGTTTTCTGAAAGGCTGGTAGAGTCAGAGGGCAATATGACATGCCAAAGATGAGGTGTGCAACCCAAAAGGACACATTTTCCGGGTCCTCCTAGATATTTTCATTGATTGGTGAAATTATAAATACCATCAACATAAAATGAAGCTTGCTCAGAGGCTGAAATACTCCAAGTAAATGAGATGAAGAGAGGAGAGAGGTAAGGGAAGAAGAGAGGGTTAGGCGAGAGAGTGGGGAAGGGGGTAAGAGGAAGAGAGAAAGAAGGAGTGGAAAGGGGAGAGAAGAGAAGGAGAGAGGAAGGGGAAGTAGAGAAGGAAAGGGTGACGGAGGGAAGAAAGGAGGTAGAGAAGAGGAGGAGAGAGGGAGAAGAAAGTGATGGATAGGGTACAAATATGGTGTATTGAGACCAGAAGAGCCAATAATCATTTTTGGGGGTTGATGTAAGACGTGTTGATGTAAATATTTAATAATATAAAACAATGTTGGTTATGTAACAGTATGCATGTGATTATTTGTTATGAAAATGAAAAATAAAATAAAAAAACACTTAAAAAAAGATACTTTCATGGATGGGAACTGGAGTGTTTCAGACTTGATGAAGCACACAGAAACAAATGGGAGAAACAATGGTCCTTCAGATATATTGGCCCCATGCCATGAAGTTGGTAGGTGATAACCAGCATCTTGGTTTCCACTCAGAAGCATAAGGAAGCCAGGGAAACATGTGTGTGTGTGTGTGTGTAAAGTAAACATAACATAATATGTCCATAACTGCTCCACCACAATCCGGATCAATTGTAGCTTCCAGATCGTCTTCAAGGGAAGTCCCTTGTAACTCTCTTGTAGTAGCGTAGAGAAGGAATGTTGCTCAGTGGAGTTGCATGCGGAGATTCTCCAATCAAATCCCTGGCATCTCACTATCTAGGTAGCAGGGAAAGACCCTTATTTCAAACTTCAGAACTGCCACAGTAAAGGCCAAGGTGATACCAACAGCAACCCTCAATCTAATTTCAGAAGGCCCCTGCCAACAATCTGAACTTAGGGAAGAGATGGAAAGGGAAAGGGAGAAACGTTTCAGAAAGAGACTTTAAAAAAAAGGTGATAACTCCTGTCTGGAGACTTCTGCCATCTACTGTTTAACA